AGAAAATAAATAATTCTGACAGCAGCATTACAAAATAAGTATCATTATTTGACTTATTTTCTTATTTCATTAGTTCGAGGTTTTCTAGTTTTGTAGCTTCGGTCTTATACTGCACGTAAAAGTTTAGATCCAGGGGCTGTCCAGTTAATTAACATCTCACACGTGTCTTTACCGTGAGAGACTGAGCCTAAATTTACCGCTCCTTAGACTGCAGGCTCAAGATTCAAGATGGCGGATGTGATGGCATGACTTGATTAAGTGGTAAAAAGTCTCTATTAAAATTCCTTTCTGTTGTGACAAAATGCCTAAAGGAAGGTTCCCATTTCGAAGAACATTGGAATTTTTATCTGCTGGTAGAGTTATATTAAAAAAAGATGTGCGATCAGTCATGCTGTCATATACTCACAAAGAAGAAAGCAAGGGTCTCAGGTGTGTGTTGAGATTTTTGCCTTTGTAAATTACTCTCAAAACACTATACTAAGTTTGATTGAGTGTATTGGCTGTTGGAACTATTGATTTTTAGCATAGCGAGTTCTTTTATTATTTCAGGAACTTTATTTACAAAGATTTGCCCCAGATTCAATATAAAAACAACGGCGTTCARTTCATATCATCAAGAAATACATCAGAGATACCAAAAGTTGAYATATTCTTTGGTAAGTGCATGGTAGTGTTCATGGAATTGATTATTTATTGAAWTATAAGGAGGAGATGTTATAGCAATTGCACAATGCACAAATTAATACAATGCAGTATGTTTGAGTTTAGCTGCTCCCCCCTCCCTTCTCAAATTGAAATGCTTTTAAAGGGCTACTTAGACGAAAATTGCGAAAAAATTAGAAACGACTTGGAAATCAAATAGACCTATCCATATGGGTGTAATAATCATGAAGCAACAGATTTCAAGAGAATATTGATGCAAATCCTTAATAATTTGGGCAAAAAATGTTGGAGTAGATGACGTCATCTACTCAATCCCTTTGTTCTTCCATCTTTTGAATCAAAATTTATCTGATGTGGGATNTTCATGGACAAATAAATGAAATTATAACATAATGCTTTGTTCTAGGTGATGGAAGAAAAGTTTTAATTGATGTTGAAAACAAAAAGGCACCAGAAATCCTAGATATTTTTGAACAAGTAGCAGGAGCAACCGAAAGGTATTTGATTGACAGGCTATATGAGAACTCCAATACCTGTGTATACCTCCACTATACATATACATCTGTCTTTTAATCATTATTATCCCGTGTATTTTATTGATAATATATTTGTAACAAATGTGACTATGCAATTGAGCTTCCAAGAATTATCTTAACAACTGCAGCAATGTAATTTTTGTTTTAATCAAAGTTCTAAGTTCTATACCCAAAAAAGAATACCCTACACAAATTTTATGGCTAAACTAAGGAAAAAACATAACAGAAGAAAATTGATTATTATTAGATAAAATTATTGAATATTTCCGTACTTACAGTGAGTTGCAGATAAGACGGCAGCCCAAGTATCCTGGTAGAATCAACCCTGCCAACTTTGGTAAATACGGTCATTGCTACTGTATCTGTGAGAAACCAGGTCAAGTACCATGTCCCTCTAGAGTACCAAGACCAGAAGCACGTAAAACTAAACCATGGCAAGAAAAAGACAGTTGACTTAAATCCTACATAATTTTGTACAAAACACATTCTTGAAATATTATTTGTATTGACACTGGTGAAAAACGCACTGTACATGTCCACAGCTTTCCCTAAAGTCAGCGCTCCCGTCTTGAAATCTGCCTAATTTAACACAGAAAACACTACGAAAAACTTCATTTTCTCAAAATAGAAATGACAAGATAAAAATAGAAACTACATACTAAAAGAACCTATCATGAACAAAGATTGATGGAAATATGAATTTTTAATATCGGTTAACAAGCTTATAAAATGTAAAAAACTGCTCTGTTTACAAATAAATTAGGCAGATTTCAAGACGTGAGCGCTCACTGGCTGGAAAGCTGTGGACATGCGCAGTGCGTTTTTCACCAGTGCTATTTGTATTGGGAATAAAACTGACTTGATGAAAAAAAAGAGCAAAAGAAGAAAATAAAAGAGGTGCAAATAATGAATATAGACCTTGAATATCAACATGAAATCCTTATGAACACAAGGTGTAGTCTTTTATCTCACTTGGACTTCATGTCCATAAAAATAGCATGTTTTTCTGGGAGCAACGAAGAACCAATAGAAAATTAATCCTGCACGCCTGAGGATGTTTCAAGTAGCAAAGGGAAAAAGTTAAAAAAAAATTTAATAACAGTATAAAAGCTGAACTCGTGAACTGGTCTTTAGCTCCTTGTAATTCCCATAGTTTCAAGATAAAGTCTGCCAGAAATTGAATCTAAAGTTGGCCAGGTAAAATGTCCTGGCACTGAGCAATGTGAATTGAGGACAAGTGTGAAACGTCAGTGAACTCAATTTTCCAAAATAGTGCTACCTGAACTAAAGATTTAGTATAAAAATAGTTCAAACACAATGTTTCAAGCCTGCTGAAAATATTATGGCGTTCCCTGCTCATGTCAATCTCGAGCCCAGAGTATTCACGGCTAATGTCAGCGGTATGCTGACGCCGTCTCTCACGCATTGACATACGCTGGATGGCAAAAGTGTGGGCTCTGGGTACGAGATTGTGCTCATGTTGTAATTCCCAAGAGACTCTGCTAACAGGCTAGCAGCACTACATACCATGAATTTCTTGCCATTCCTTAGGAATATCTTGCTGTATAACTTTGTCTTCCTCATGTTGGCGAGATATAACAGCTGTAAAATACACCAAAACAGCTGTGAGACTCCAGTGAATGGCGGGAAAAATTCAAATTTACAATAGAAAGATTGGGTACTAGAATGATGACCGCTGTGCAAAGATGTGCAGTCTCACTAATCCAAGATGGCCGCCAGAAGTCGAAGTTTTGTAGCGATACAGAGAGCGTTAAAAAAGCAATCTTTAGGCGGAAAACAAGGTCGATTTGCTGTAAACAGAACGTTACTCAATCTAAAAAGATGTGAAGTCAGCTTAGGGGATGATGTTCAGTCGATAGATGTGAATTTGGCAAGTTCTGTTAGTGCAAAACACAATTATGGACTGAAGTAAGCTTCATGTGCAGTTTACGTGTTTACGTAACTTGATGAATCGTTAACTTATTAGCACAAATGATATTTCAGGAAATTTCTATATGAGGAAGTACCCAGATTAAAATTCAAGAACCCCCATGTTCCTATAGCAAGAAATAAAACTGATTCAAAAGAGTCTGAAGTGGTTATAAAATTTGGTAAGTTAAGCTTAACTTTTGAGTTTGTTATTTGAATGTCAGAAACATAAAATGGTGCTTGCTTTATAAGCAATAATTTGTTAATATTTTGGTAATCAGGCTTTGAAGTATGTTTGTTTTATTTGTATTGCAGCTGATGGGAGAGAAGAAAAGATTCCAACATTGGAGAAAACACCATCTGAAATCATGAATGAACTTATTAATACAATTAATCCTATATCAAGTGAAGATACTGAAAATTTACAAGAAAAACAGGAAAACTAAATTCTTGTTTCATATGTATATAATTATATGCTGTACTGTAGGTATGGCCAGGTAAAACTGGGATAAATATAGCATTTATTGTTGTATATAGCCTAATTTAGCCTGGCTCTAAGTAGAGGGAGTTGATCTCTCTACTCACTTTGGCTGAACCACAAAAGGTGACTTTATGGAAATAAATTACTTCTTTGGTTTTTACATTTCAATCTGATGAATTGATCTGTTTTAAGTCCTCCCCATTCTACACTTGGCCCTCCCCAATACCCTACTACGCAGGCTATTGGAGTTTCAATTTCAAAGGAAATAATTAGCAAAAAAAGTAATGGATTAAATAGCATTGCGCAAATGACTTAATTTATTTGTTTATATTATATTACGATACACATTGGCAATTATATGAAAATATATATTAAGTTATAAATTATTCAAAAGCTTTTTAATCTTTTTTGCTTTGGTAGCTATTTCTTCATTTCTGCATGTCTCCAGTACATCTAGCTTGTCTTCTACTCCTTCTGCTAAATCTTTTGCTTTTTCCTGGAAAAGTGTTATGTAACTTGTGAAATTCAGGGTTTTTTGTGCATGCAAATGATCATTGTTATTTTACATTGTACTAATTTGTGCTATTTTGTATGCTTCTTCAGTTTTTAAAGTTATTTTTCCTTTTCAATCTATTAACCTCTCTAAACTCCAGAAAGTATTGTACAAATGTCAACATTCATATAAAAATTGTACAATGATGTGAAGGGTTGGCGGAAGGTAGTGACAGACAAATACACCATTTTTTCCTGCACACTAGTCCTTGACATGCATATCTCTCTCTTTCACCTTATATCACTTATACCTTCAAAACAGGATCATTAGCAATGTTTTGAAGAACATTCAGTTGTATAACAACTGTTCTTAGTACAATGCCTTCATCCATTGTAGGATCCATGAACCTTGCAAGGACCATTATCTTTTCAATGAGAAAGTGTTGCACATTGTCTTTGGTGCATGAAAGATTCACCAGAAGTCTTAGCGTATTCACCTGTAGATAAGAAAATAAACCTTAATTGATCTTTAGTTAAAAATAATAGTTTTGTACAAGAGTATGATTTCATTGCGCCCTTTTGGGATCCCTACATTATCCTGTTGGCCATACAGGAGACTAAGGCCTAGCAAAGAAACCACTCGAGTAGTACCGTAAAACAGATCCAACAAGCTCAAGAACAAACTAGCAGCATCACTCCAAGTGTGTGAAGAAGCTTCCTCATACGACGAGAGATTAACCGCAAAGTTACCAAGATGTTTTCAACAATAGTGATAATTTTTGTTCTTTGCATGTTACCCAACCAGGTTTTCTGGCTCTGGTCGGACTTTGCTGATGGCTACAAGTACAAAAAGTCTGTATATGTTGCGATGATATGCCACTGGTTTACCTATGCTAATAGTTGTTTAAATCCTGTAGTGTTTTTTCAATTCAGTAGAGATTTTAACCAAGGATTGCGAAGTATGGTCAGGATATTGTTTTGCAAAGAAGGAAGCGATGTGAAACAACTTCGTCGTCTTTGGAAAGAAATCGTTGATTCGAACAAGGTGATATCTGACAAATTAACTACAAGGCAAGGCAGAAGAGATCAAAAAGTTAAAAACTAAGAAATTACGTGATCTAGGTGCGCTTTCCATTTGTCAGAACTGGCTGGCCAGACCCAGAGAAAATGTCATTATATATCATTCCCATTTAGTTAGGAAATTTAAATTTTCAAATTCTATTCATTATTCTACAGAAAACCTCGAAATGACTGAAAAACTGGCCGGCCAGTTCTGCCTAAATGGAAAGCACCCTAGATTTCCTGGAAAAAAATGAACTTCATGGAAAAACCGACAATGGGACCAGGACTTGACACTGATAAGCCTTTCTGTGCATGCTCTTTTAGTGATTTTCCGTCTTCAAAGAATTATTCTGAATCATTAAGAACACGACGTACAGAACAATGTGAACTGCAACGGTGTAGAAAATGGCGACCGGTCATATTCGATGTAGTATGAGTGATTCAATTGGGTACGACTACAAGCTCTATAAGGATCTTTCTATGGGTACGTCTGATTGACGTGTGACCCTCTTTATAACAGGAAGAATTTATATGCAGGACCAGAAATCAATGCCGGCAACAGGGATAAATTAGCCTTAGTAACCATCGATCAACATTTGGTATGTAAGCGTTGCTATCGAATGGCCCCCATTTTAGATCTTCCGCCGGCTTGTCGCTAAGAACACTTGATTCATACTCGTAGTCAAATCTAAAGTCAGTAATATCAACGTGACCAATAAAATGTGTCGAAAACATTGATAAATAATTCATCATGATATGCAGAATGAGCTGATTGACAACCCTGAAAGTTTTAAAACAAAAAATTGTTTTAATTGGATATCCAATGATATTTCATCATAGATGGAAATAACAAATCTTTCATTTGCATATGAAGCCTACATTGGTCTATTTTTAAGTACATAAGTAACTTGNATCTATTTTTAGACAACCAATCRCAACGCACGCACATATTACACGGCACCTGATTGGTCCTTGTTGATCTACGGACAAGAAAAGGAAAATGTAGTCGATGGAGAGGCGAACGAAGTAAAGCTTACATTATTACGAGAATTTTACAACTTTTGCTGAACAACCATTTCAGAATTTAGTAGAAAACATTCTTTACTATATGAGCAATGTAGCGAAGGTAGTTCAAGAGCAATATGGTCTACGAAAACAGGGGAAAAGTTCATACAAAGATGAAAAAGATGCAGACAAAAGGAGTGCGAAGAAATGTCTGCAAAAATGTGATTTTGTGGCGAGAATTGTACTCGTTTTAACAAGAAATCTGTTCTAATAGAATTACACTATACATAGAATTGTAGTAAAGGTATTTTAGGATCTAAATAGCTTTATAAAAAGGGGAAAACTAATACAAAACGATGCGAAAAATGTCACAAAAAGTCAATCAAAAACTCTTTTAGCAAAACGATGTTCAAGTTAAGTTCATTTTATATTGTGAACTCTTCATTGTGTAAGGAGTTGTTCTTTGAAAGAAAAAGTGAGGAATAAACAAACTAGCGAATAGGTACAGAGGGTAATAACGAAATCATGTCGAATTTTAAGTTAACAATAAACAAGATAAGTTATGAAAAGCCACAAACAACAAGAAGTCGTCAAAGAAATACCGATAACTAACTTGAATTTCAAAACAAAGCCCGCCTACCTGAAAATTTACAGCTTTTCAGCATCTCACGTTAACAGTCGAAAATTACTTTACTTTTGGCTTTGTTTAAGTCCAGCTCTATTTGACTGTAAGGAAGCTACTTTACACTACTTTTCTTAGCACGCTGTTTTACATTTTTCTTCGTCTATGCCTGAACTTTTCCCTTGTTTTCGCAGACCATATTGCTCTTGAACTACCTTCGCTACATTGCTCATATAGTAAAGAATGTTTTCTACCAAATTCATAAACTGGTTGTTCAGCAAAAGCTGTAAAATTCTTGTAATGCAAACTTCACTTCGTTCGCCTCCATCGACTACATTTTCCTTTTTCTTGTCCGCTCTTGAAGTAGATCAACAAGGACCAATCAGGTGCCGTGTAATATGTGCGCGCGTTGTGATTGGTTGTCTAAAAATAGATTATCGGGACATCTGATGGTGGCGATATTATTGCCGGGGAGATGGACACTTCTGGTTATGTACTTCTGCAGTTGTTAAATACCGCCGTAGGTGACAACTTATCGCGGATTAGTTTGAGTTTAAGCAGAAGTAGTGTTTTACGTTTTCTTTATCTTAAGTCCAGTCCAGGGAGTAGACTATGAGATACAAAATAGTTTCAAGAGCCAAATGTCGAAGAATCGCAAAAAGCAAGGAAAAGTTAGATTTCTCATCTAAGTAATAATGCAAGTATCGAGAATCGGCACTACATGGAATATTTCGTCGCGTAGATTTTCAGTGGAAGCGTTGTAGATTTTCGTTACGCGATTTTGGCCGAAACAGATGTATTCTTTGTCTTCTAGATGCAATGCTATTAGGGCAATGCCGGCATATTTTTGAAGGATGTGTGCGAGCAATTTTTACCGGGGTATTTTTGAGATCACTTATATTTGACATCTGGTATAGCATGCAAACACTATTCTGTTACATCGATGTAAACACACGTGCATGATCGACAAAGCATACTCTGTACTACCCCAAAAGTAGTTTTGACTGTTTTAATCTCCCCTCACTACGTTCAAAATTCTCAGCGTGGTACTGTTATTTGATTGGTTTCTTTTTAATTGGATTAGTTTAGCATGGAAGTGAGATTCCAACCGACTCCTACCAGAGGTTTGATTTTCGTTCGGCCTTACGGCCTCGATTACGCCGCTTCGCGCCGACAAAACCACTAGCGAAGAGAGAAAAATCAAACCTCTGGGACCAGGGTAACAACAGAAAGAATTCTATTTGAAATCCTTAAGACAGCTGACCAAGAAGAACAAAAATACATGGTCCGTATGGGGCTCGAACCCATGACCTTAGCGTTATTAGCACCACGCTCTGCCGGCTGAGCTAACAGACCGCACGTGATCAAATTTTACAATAGCATTAAAACAACACGAAGAATTCTATTTGAAATCCTCAAGACAGATGACCAAGAAGAACAAAAATATATGGTCCGTATGGGGCTCGAACCCATGACCTTAGCGTTATTAGCAC